TGGGGAGCTCCGATCTTATTTGTAAAAAAGAAGGACGGCACCAGGAGGATGTGTATTGACTACCGAGGACTCAACAAGGCTACTGTAAAAAACAAATATCCTTTCCCCAGGATCGACGACCTTTTCGACCAACTTCAGGGAGCAAGTTGCTTCTCGAAGGTCGATCTCCGCTCGGGGTACCACCAAGTTCGTGTGAAAGAAGATGACATGGCAAAGACAGCTTTTAGGACACGTTATGGACACTATGAATTCTTGGTCATGCCATTCGGTTTGACGAATGCGCCAGCAGTATTTATGGACTTGATGAATCGGGTCTGCCGGCCATTCCTCGACAAGTCTGTAATTGTATTCATTGATGACATACTTATTTATTCCAAGGACGAATCAGATCATGATCAACATCTTCGGGAGGTCCTCGAAATGCTAAGAAAGAAGAAGTTGTATGCAAAATTCTCCAAGTGCGACTTTTGGTTGAAGGAGGTTCAATTCTTGGGTCGTGTTGTCACTCGAGACGGGGTGAAGGTAGACCCGTCAAAGATTGAGGCGATGATGAGCTGGGAACCACCAAAGAGTCCGTTAGAAATCTGTAGCTTCTTGGGTCTGGCGGGATACTATAGGAGATTTATCCAAGATTTCTCCAAAGTTGCTTCCTCCTTAACGGCTCTGACCAGGAAGAATGTGAAGTTTATCTGGACGGAGAAGCAAGAGCATGCCTTTAGAACTCTCCAAAAGAAGTTGTACGAAGCCCCGATTCTCTCCCTGCCGAAAGGGTCCGAAGACTTTGTAGTCTTTAGTGATGCCTCGAAAATGGGGTTCAGTTGTGTCTTGATGCAAAGGGAAAAAGTGATTGCCTATGCCTCAAGACAACTCAAAGATCATGAGAGGAACTATCCTACCCACGATTTGGAGTGAGCGACGGTGGTGTTCGCCTTAAAGCTTTGGCGCCATTACCTTTATGGTACCAAGTGCACGCTTTTTACGGATCACAAGAATTTAAAGTATATTTTTTATCAAAAAGAACTAAACATGAGGCAACGACGTTGGCTTGAGCTGCTCAAGGACTACGATTGTGAATTGCTATATCATCTGGGTAAGGCAAATGTAGTAGCGGATGCTTTGAGCCGAAAAGAGTACGGTAGTGGGACGAAAGTTGTGCTTACCAGGATCGATATAATGTCCAGTCTGATTGATCGGATCAAGGTCGCGCAATCTGAAGCGCTCCTGAAAGAAAATCTCTAGAGTGAAGTAATGATGAATCAACGCATGCTGTTGACAGAGGATGGCCGTGGCTTGAAGCTCTTTCAAGGGCGTATATGGGTACCCAAGACTGGAGGCAATCGTGAACTGTTACTAGAAGACGCACACAAGTCTAAATACTCAATTCATCCAGGCAGCACCAAGATGTATCAGGACTTGAAACTGACATATTGGTGGCCGGTTATGAAGTTAGATGTGGCATGTTATGTAGAGAGGTGCGTGACTTGCTTGCAAGTGAAAGCTGAGCACCAACGACCTTATGGTGGCCTTCAATCCTTGGAGGTCCCCGAGTGGAAATGGGAACATATCACGATGGATTTCGTGACCAAATTGCCGAAGACCTTAAGGGGCCATGATACGATAGGGGTAGTGGTGGACCGACTGACAAAGAGCGCTCATTTCCTAGCAATGCATGAATCATTGACGATAGACAAGCTTGCCAAGTTATACATCGATGAAGTAGTCTCGAGGCACGGTATACCGTTGTCGATAGTGTCAAATCGAGATAGTAGATTCACCTCCCATTTCTGGGGCGGCTTGCAAAAAGAATTGGGCACGAGAATAAATTTGAGTACAGCTTACCATCCTCAAACCGATGGTCAGAGTGAGCGGACCATTCAAACCCTTGAAGACATGCTGCGATTGTGTGTTATCGACTTTGACGGAAATTGGGATTCTCACCTACCTTTTGTGGAATTCGCCTACAATGTTCGTCATCGAGTACATTTGTCCTTTTTGTCTGTTAAATAAGACATATGTTCATTTAACAGACTTCAAGGCTTGTGCTTATTATTGAGTGTTTGCTCATTTGTTAGTGGCTTCCTCACCTACCATAGATATCCACTAGTCACTTGGCTGAAATATGTTGATCAGGTGATGATTCTTCCCACTAATCTCTGAATCAAATTTTTCTCTCTCAACAATAGTTCACATTCGATAAGTGGATGTTATAATGATATCTATAGTGGCGAATTCTAATTTGTAGCTATAAATATCTACAACAATGACTAATGGTGAGTTAATATATTTTTATTTTATTTAAAAAATTTAAATTTTATGATTATTATATTATATTTGTATGATTATATATATACATCTCCTTATAAATCGAAACAAACATGGAATGGAAGAATGCGTAGGAAGAATCACTTAAAGTTAACCATGGAAGAATGCAATCTGAATCATATAGATGCTTGCAAGAAATTTCAATTAATTCAAGTGGGTCTTTGAAAATAACACAATGAGATTCAAGATATGAGTTTCATGAATTTCAATAGTTGGAAGTGCTTCAATGGCGGACTTTGATGCCGGTAGATTCTGATTCATTCTCCCTAGCCCATTCGCTTCAATTTGAGTCAATTGAACAAAAAATCGTTCAAAACCAGAAGCCAACAATCACCGATAATGGCCTCAAACCAAACCTAGCTCCATCCTCGTAATACAACTCAAACCCACCACTGTTGCTAGTGTGTCCTTGGAGGACAATGACGAGGTTAAACAATAACCGATGACTTGTGTATTTTAGCAAGCTGGAGCACTAGCTGGATAAGACTCAGTCTTGAGCTCTGTTGCTCGTCCCTGACCATATACATAGTCATAGCAGCAAAATGTCTCAAGTGAAACTCCGAGAGTGTGGTTTCCAGTAACTAACTGGGTGGGCCTCTCGATTTCCTCTATGAAACCATCGTTGCCCAAGAGTCGGAATGCTAATAAACTTATGCATTTGTCGAAATTGCGGTTAATCTTTTCATGTGGTTTTGTTCCATACTTGGCAGTCCCATAAGTAATACCTATCACACCGAATTTTGATGGATTATTTCTAGATTCCAAATCTTGGCTTCCCCTGATATATTATGTGTCTTCTAATGATTCTCACGTAATTAGGTCCTCCACGATGTCATACCCAACAAATTAGTCTTTTGTTGCCATTAATTTCCAACTCATACTTAAAGATCAGACACATGTTAAAAATATGCACTTAATTTAAAACAAACCATTGTAGTCTTTTAAAAATGGAAATCTAGAAAAGATCGAAACTAAAACAAACCATTGTTGCTAGAGACAATGGAGTTTGGTGGTTCAAGAATAGGTAGGTTCAAGAATGGAGAGACACGGCGAGAGTGAAGGAGATGTCGAGTCAGCCAGAGGGGGCTGGAAGGTTTCACCGTCCTTGGGTAGGGGTAGCCGGAGATCGTGAGTTAGCTGGAGGGGAGATGTCGTCGACGCTTTGATTGATGCGAGGTGGGGGATTTAACAAGGACGATTCATGTTTCATTAATTTATATTATATATATAATATTTAATATAATAAATATATATTTTATACCAATATTATCCCTGACTTAAGGGACCACTAGTTAGTGGAGTTCGGGTATGGGACGCAATCCATAACAAAATTAAAACCATGGTGACCAGACATATAATTATTTCTTTTGAGGGACCTAATCCAAAATTTTCAGTAACCACATAGACGAAATTTCTAATTTACTCAAATATATATACTATTGACGACAACTTGTAGCGACGACAATGGCGTCTCCATAGGTAGTGAAGTATAGCGACAACTTATGTTGCCTCAATAAGGCTACAACAACAAACTTTCAAAGACGACAACTATAGAGACAACTGTTGTCGATATAGGTTAGTTGGGACAACTTCTTAACCTTTAGCGACAACTTTTGTCGTTGCTGTAGCTTTGATTTCTTGTAGCATGACACCTGATCTACTTTCCTTATGCTTACTATCATGTCTTTGAAGGTTAACCACCTTGTAAGTGCATATACACTATCATCTGGGGTTAACTCACAAGGTAAAATACTTCAACAATAGGGGTGGGGCATTCAGTACTAATCCATCACTGACGGCAGCTTGGTCATTAGCAATAGTGCCCATCAATGGTACTTTTACATATTAAACCCAATAGTAACAAAGTGTTATCTTCACCAAATCTTCTTTTAAATAAAATTGTAAATCGACCTTATTACAACCTTAGGATATGCAAATTTCACTTTGGAAAATCCAAAACAATCTCTTTGTTCTAGGTCTGAATCAGATTTCGATATATCTTCATATGATAAGAATTTTTTATGTTTTCATTGCCTCCAAAACTTTTTCTAATATATATAACTAACAAGAAGAAGTGACATTCGGAGTTAGCTTTGGAAGTATTTTCGGTTGTCTATATAAATTACATCCATGTTCTTTAGAAAAAAAAAATCCCAACATGGTTGTACTACATAAATTAGCAAAGTCGTGCTCTTTCATAAACCTACCAAGTAGAAAGTTTCATAAAATTTGGCAAAATAATGCCTTAAAATTCAGCATGGTCTAGCATTTCATAAAACTTCCTTGCATGACTTATAATTTAGCATGGTCTTGCTCTTCATACGAGTGTATACACCACACAACCAAACCTACGTTATTGCTAAATAGAACCCTTAGATCTTGAATGAATTTTAATCATACCGAATGATCAATAACGTAGAAAATATGTGTTCATCACAATGATTATTGAAAAATAATTCTTGGGCAACGTGATTGCCCCAATCTTATTATTAGATTTAGATAAGGATCTTTATCTAGGTAGTTATCTTTTATATTTGGTAGTTATCCATTATTATGTATTATATATTGAGGTGGGGAGATAATGAGAAAAGGCAATCAAACCATTTATTCTATTATGGTATCAGAGCCGAAAACACATTCTCCTCCCTCCCAACTCTTCTAATCGGCAATGCGATACCATGACTGGTTCAACTACCGTTGTCGATTCTTCATCCATGTCTGGTTCTTCATCTACACCCTTTCACCCGGCCCTTACGGTCAATAATATCAAAACCTTCATCCCTATCACGTTAGAAACAGAAAAAGTTCAATACGCTTCATGGGCCGAGTTGTTCAAGATCCATGCCATGGCGTTTCAAGTTCTTGATCACATTATCCCACCATGGGATGATTCAGTTAATCCGGCTCTATGGAAAAGCCTTGATGCCATTGTACAACAATGGATTTATGGTACGATTTCTTTCGATCTTCTTCAAACTATTTTGGAACCGAATTCTACCGCTCAAAAGGCGTGGGATCGTCTTAAGCAATTGTTTCACGACAATTAGCATTCACGAGCCATTCTTCTCCAAAGTCAGTTTTCTCATATTCATAGGTCCGAGTTTACTTTAGTCTCGGCATATTGTCAACAACTCAAATCTTTGGCCGATCAACTTGCAAATGTCGGCTCTCCGGTTTCCGAAAAGACTTTGGTGTTACAACTTGTTGCAGGGTTATCCGAGGCATATGACGGTGTGGCTACAATTATCCAATAATCCGATCCTTTTCCAGATTTTTTCCGTGCTCGTAGTATGCTCACCTTGGAGGAATCACCTAAAGCCAAACAGGTTCCATTACCATCTACATCATCGCCCGCTGTTTTACTCACTCAATCCACATCGGCGACTCCATCCCCGTCGCCCAATCCGTCCTTTTCTTCAATGTAACAACAACCTGATTGGTTCGAATTCCGGGGGCGTAGCACACGTGGTCGTGGGCGTAGCTATAGGGGCTGCGGTGGTCGTGGATCCCGTGGTCGTGGGTTCTCATATTGGCCACGACCACCATGGTTTTCTCCCCCTCCATGGCAGCAACAACAGTGGTATATACCACCCTCCTCGTATCCAACGATGGGGTATTCGGCACCACATTGGACTCCACGTCCTCCTCCCGGTATGTCTCGTTCATCAGCTCCCCCTTCCGAGTAAGCATATACTGCCGACACTCAATCTCAATTTGCTCCTACGGATATTGAATCGGCCCTTCACACTATGACACTCAACCCACCGGATCATCAGTGGTATATGGATACTGGCGCCTCGTCTCATATTACCTCGGACCAAGGTACTCTCTCTATCCGTAGTAATAATTATTTTGTTCGTCATATAATTGTTGGGAATGGTAATTCTCTACCAATTAAGGTTCCGGTATGACATTCAAATTAATAAAAACATACCAAAAATACCAAAAGGGTGTCTGAGATTGCTTATAAAAACAACTTATTGACTTATTCCAGTGTGACACCGGTAATAAACATTTTCGAGTGTTTGTATAAACAACTTATACCGGTGTCAAACCAGTAATAAGGAGTTTTTGAAGAACTTATACCCTTCTGACTTATAATAAGTTGATAAGTGTTTTTATAAAAAAGCATAAGTTATTTTAAATAAGCAATCTCAAATACCCCCAACTCAAAATTTGATTTAAGAGATAAAATGTATGTAGAGCTTCTCTCTATTTTTTAAGACAGAAAAAGAAATTTCTGTAATCCTCGACCTCCATAAAGTTGTGGGAACTCAATGGTGACAAACAATATTCAAATGTATTGTCTATTTGATCCTTCTTTATAAATTACTAGTTTTTTGACATCGCGCGTTGCGCGATGACGATAATTTTTTAAAAATTATTGAAGTTAGCTAAATGAATCGATGATCACATTTATATATTAAATTAATAAGAATCAGTATTACCTTTGATATATGAATCTACCCACCTCATTTTGATTATCCATATATTTTATAGGAATTTTACAAAAAAAACAAATTAATCCCAAATACAATGTAAACAACCTCGAAAACACACTGTTTTGAGCCAATTAGAGTCATAAATGACTTTCGACCCTTCATGAAAGTGGTTGCAAGATACGAGCTTATTACAACTTACAGTTTGTGAGTTATACATTGGCAAAGTACGAGAGTTGCACTGTCGATAAAATCCAATTTCACAATTTCTCAACTAACTTTTATGATCTCAACTTCGCATATTCAATCAAACAGGTAATTTTCTCCCCGACTACGAGTCCCATACTACCCCCCATAAACTGAAAATCCATAACCCCAATTGCTACGGTAATACATTTTAGTTGTCTTATGCTTGTTTGAACAACCTCGGTTAATCTTGTCTTTCTTATTATGTTGTACTAAAAAATGATTGAAACTCGTGTTTTTGGTCATTTAATAAATTATTATATTCAACTATTATGTAAATAGACTTATACATATTAATCATAATTTCATTTATATAAGTGAGTTTCTAAATATAATGATTATCTATATATTCGTTAATTATAA